GTTCTGGAGGGGAGAGGGGCCGCAAGTATCCCCAGGTATAAGCTAAAGGCAACAGCTTGGCTGGCTAATACTGAGCAGGTGTTGGGGCACATGCCTGCCCCCTCCCCCTGGCCTCTGGACCTTTTGCAGTAATCACCAGGGGTTGGTAAAGCCACTGGGAAACCCATTGGCACCTTAGAATCACAGTGTTACTGATCAGGGATCTGAGGCTGCTGTCTGGGATAGATGGGGGGAGGGAAATGGGTGGGCAGGCAAGCCTTCTGTCTTCCTTTGCTAAGTTGGGATTTTGAGCAGGCTGGGATTGACTGTGACTTCCTGTCCCAGAAACCTTGTCAATTCTCTCCTTTGGCCTAGACCCAGCCTGCTGATCCAGGGTGTGCATTAATTGAGGGTGGGGTGGAGGGGGCTACATTGCAAGGAACTGGCTCTGAGGTTGACTCTGGCTTTGTCACATGGTTGCCCTTTCTGGGGCATGAGGAACTAGTGTCAGGCCAAGCAGAGGCCTTGGTGCTGGTTGGGGACAGGGCCTGCAGAATCTTAGTTACTGATTTCATTTTCAACAAGTCTAGGTTTGTTACATTGGTTTCCCAATAAAAGAAAAAATTAATTTCCTGTCCAGTGTAAAGTTAATCTTGGTGTACACGACACTGCAAAGTATGCAGAAATGTCATTTCTTCCAATGGACAAAGCATATTCCAAGGTGAATCCCCAGCTGTGGATTTCAACCTCTCCATATCTTCCTGTGGCAAGGAGGAATTGGGTTTGTTCAAGACCACCCAACAATCAAATTATGAAGTTGGGGCTCAAATTCATATAACATTTCCTTTGCATCAGATCCATTGTGAGGTGCCTTTCCTTTGCAGAGTAGGCAGGCAGAATTGTCATGCTTGCTGCAAGAAAGTGACTATAAGGAAAAGTGCTGTATGTGTGGAAAGGAGAGTCCCAGGGCTGGTGAAGATAATGGTGGGCTTGTTATTAATAACAAGTGATTTCTTCAAGAATCATGAAGAAGAAGGATTCTAAGGAAAGGAACTTGCAGGGCAGAGGAGGTTGAAAGAAGCAAGCAATTGGTGTGGAGATGGATGGACAGTCTGTCACTGGAAAGGATTTGAACTGGAAGAGCCTTAATCCCCAAGTAGGAGATTTGGACATCTCTCATCTGCCAACAAGGTTCTAAGTAGAAGAATCACCTGAGGATAAATTTGAGGAAGGTGAATCCAATTTGTGAAAATGATGGGATGAGGAGACAAGTTTGGGGGTTAACTGAATCTACTGGGAGTATGAAATCTGAGCTCATGTTATTATCTAGGCCTCCACATTTAATTTTTTTATTGGTGTATATTCTCTGAATAATAGTAGGTGTAATTGTGGCATACTTATATATACATAAAACAATTTGATCAATTTTACTCCCCAACCTCTTCTCCCAACCTCCCACCCTCACCACCCCCC